AAGCTTGGTGGGAGGCAGGGAATTGAGCCGCCACGTGTCGCGCTCGGAGTGGCTGGCGTGTGCTGGCAGAAGGCTGTCGCGGGGACAGCTGGGACCCGCATTGGACAAGTGTCATGTGCAGAGTGAGCGGCAGGTCTGGCGTGAGCAGACGCGGGACCCATGCGAGGAAAGCCTTGGAACGCGCTGGAGAACGCGCATGCATGGGACGCGCTCCCTGAGGTGCCGTGTACGGTTGACGCGCGAGGCGCGCGATGGCGGGAGAAACGGGTGCGGATTTCTGCGCTGACTGTGCAGTGGCTTGGCTCGGTGGCTTTGAGTCGGCTTAGCTCTGTGTTGTTGAAAATATGGCTTTCATGGCTTAATTTAGTGTAGCTTTTTATACTACTTTTTATCTGTAAATAATTAAGCAAAAACTAGACAAATTCCAATTAAAAATATTATGAATAAAAATAATGGAATTGCTTAATGAAAGCTTAAATATTTTAATATTATATAAATCAAAAGCAGTATTTATGGTGCATTTTCATGCACTGATCAGGGGTCCTCAAAACCACCCATCTATCTTTTAATTTTCTATATCTAGTAGTGTTAATGAAGCATAGATTTTCAGGATCCTAACAATGTGTTGATTGGTGTGACAATTGCCTTAGAGCCCTCCATGTTAAAGCGCTCAAGAAGATCACGGACATACTTATGTTGGGACAAAAAAAGACCCTGAGTAGTTGGAATGGCCTCAACACCCAAGAAGAAATGAAGAGCTCCCAGATCCTTGATGGAGAAACGATGGGCCATAGCATTAATCACTTGTTGGACAGCCGATGGAGAATTGCCTGTTATTAATAAATTATCAACATAGACCAAAAAATAAAGCACACACGATTTGACAGTGTAGAGAAATAAGGAAGAATCGGACTTAGAGTTGATGAACCCAAGAGTTAAAATAAATACTTTGAGCTCGTTGAACCAAGCACGCGGTGCTTGTTTGAGGCCATAAAGAGAACGGCGGAGCCGACACAGATGTTGAGGTCGAGATTCATCAACAAAACCCGGTGGTTGAGACATGAAAACTTCCTCGAAAAGATGGCCATGAAGGAATGCGTTATTGACATCCAATTGGTGAATCGGCCATTGTCGAGAGGTTGCGATGCTTAAAACAACCCTGATGGTGATGGGCTTAATGACTAGGCTAAAAGTTTCAGTATAATCTACCCCTGGGCGTTGATGGAAGCCCTTGGCTACAAGGCGGGCTTTGTAGCGATCAATACAGCCATCGGAAAGACGTTTGATGCGGAAAACCCATTTGCAACCGACAACATTGTGATGGGCTTTATGGGAAACTAGATCTCAAGTATTGTTGCGTAGAAGAGCATTCATCTCTGATAGGCCACTGGTGCACTTTACTTACGTGAGGAGAAATAAAAGGCAGGGGTAGAAGGGGAATTTTGTAAGGGGGCGGTCTATGGTAGTATCCGGGGATATATAGTTAGAAAATAAAGAGAGGAGGGTGAGACAATTGTATTGTGAGGAAATTGGAGTGTTGAGGTCTCTCGAAAACCTCTGTATGTGTGTAGAGTGTGGAAAGTTCCTAATTGAATCTTTCCGATAGTAGATAATTGAATAATACTTGAGTAATTGCATTCTTACCGGTGATTTGTTGGTGATCTCGTATCAAATTGGTATCAGAGCGTCGATCTTGCGTAATCTGTGATGGCCGCCAGAAAATTGGAGGAAAGACTCGGTACCGTGGAGGCACAGTTGAGTTTGGTTTGGGAGGGAATTGCGAAGGAGATGGAAGAAGTTAAGGATGATTTGCAGAAGATTCCTGCATTGGAGAAGAATGTGGTGTTGATTTTGGGAAAATTGGATTCGTTGTTGCAAAAACAAGGAGGAGAAGATTCGGAATTTAGGGAGGCTAGGGCTGAGAAAGGGAACGGAGGCGGACCGGCGTATGAGCACCGGGAAGGAGAATTCCGGCTGGGAGGTATGACAAGGCGAATTGAAATGCCGATTTTTGAAGGCACAAATCCAGATGGCTGGATTTTCCGTGCGGAGCGATTTTTTGCACTAAATCGTATGGATGAAAAGGAGAAACTAGAGGCGGCGGCCAGTAGTCTCGATGGCGAGGCTCTGGCTTGGTTCCAGTGGACGGACGGGGGCCGGCCCATCCGCGACTGGTTGGAATTCAAAAAGCTGTTGCTCGACCGTTTCTGACCGTCACAGGAGGGCTCCAACTGCGAGAAA